AAAAATGATCATAAACTTTCTTTTAAGACAATTCTGGTATTTATTTGTGTGTTGTATTGTACAGTTTTATTTTCTGTTTGGCGCCATTGTGGTTGCTAAGCAACAGGACATACCCTGACAGGGGCGTGGACAGAGGCACTGTGTTCCAACAGGCAGGGCAGGCAACTGGTGGTGGGGGGCGGGCGACAGTATCGCGTCCCTCTGTTGGCCGTGGGCGGGGTGGTGTGCTCATGTCAAGTCCCTTTTGATGGAGGAGGAGATCACACTGTCATGAGGTGTGGTGTGTGAGCAGGACTGAAGGGAGTCAGAGGCGTGTGTCTCACGCTCAGCGTGACAGTTGGCAGTCTTGGAAGCTAACAGGATCTACCTGATAATAACAGGAAATACGTGAGACTAACAGAAGCTACGTGAGGCTAACAGAAGCTACGTGAGGCTAACAGAAGCTATGTGAGGCTAACAGAAGCTACGTGAGGCTAACAGAAGCTATGTGAGGCTAACAGAAGCTACGTGAGGCTAACAGAGGCTACGTGAGGCTAACTGGAGCTAACATAGGCTAACTGGATTTACCTGGTGACAACAGTAGCTACCTGAAGCCAACAAGAACCACCTGAGGCTAACAGGAACTAATTTACATTATTCACTTGTTTAATCAGTAGCAGTGGTCTGTTGTGGGGATGAATGCCTTGGGGGGAGAAGAGCCCAGAGGAACCTGCTTCAGCATGGAGAAGTCAGCTGGAGGAGAAAGTAGCTTCAGATGGCAGGATCTGGAGTCTTATTTCCTGATTTTCAGACACCTCTCCTCTGATTGGCTAACAGCAATACCACTTTACCACTGACCCTGTTTGCTGCAACGTTAATGTTTTATCTCCACAAGCCCCGGAGGAGTTCTGCTGTGTGGTGGAGTTACTAATGCTAACAGTTAGCTTCTACTAGCCGAGACGTTCTCTGCTGTTTCCCGGACGTTAAACCAACAACAGCCTTCAGCGTGGGTGAGTCCATGAATGTTAGTGACAGTGTGATGTAGCTCTGTCAGGATTTTCTGATCCTAGAGTTTCACCGTCTGTTTTCTATCAGAAGCTACTGCAGGAGATAGGTGTAGGAGACTATTTTCATGTTCAGCCTGCATGAAACACTCAGAATAACCAATTATAATCAGAAATAATAACTGATGGTTTTTCAGTGAACCACACCTTTAATACAACTAATTAATTATTAGTTAATAGTTTCGGTGGGAAGTCAGCACAGCGAAGCAGGTAAAGTTAAACAACTGGAAGATTTGATGTCAGGACCAGATTATTATTCCACGAAGATGCCCGGAGACTCATGTGAACCCAGATCAGTCGGTGGACAAATCGTTTTTACTAACGCCAGTGTAACAGATCAGGACATCAAAACATTAAAACAGGCCCAACTCTGTGGAATCCACAGGATGGAGATGTTCTTCAGACCGTCACCCCTCTGGAGAAGTGTTGTTGATCCGGGACCTGGTTAACAGATAACTGAATCGGGAGTTCTGATTGGCTGAGAGCGGTGAGCGTTGACAGTATGAATCAGAAGAATTTTGTGGAATACCAGCAGCTAGATGGTTTCCATCTGCAGCCTGAAATAACGCTGAGTCGGGCTGGTCCAGGTTCAGGTTTAGACTGGGTTACTGTCGCCCTGTAATCAGCTGACAGCTCTGGCTTCAGCTTCTCTGCTTCTCTCTGTAATTTTCTTAATTCAAGCCAGCCCAGGGGTCTGTCTCTCTCTCTCTCTCTCTCTCTCTCTCTCTCTCTCTCTCTCTCTCTCTCTCTCTCTCTCTCTCTCTCTCTCTCTCTCTCTCTCTCTCTCTCTCTCTCTCTCTCTCTCTACACTTTACTTTCTCTCTCTCTCTCTCTCTCTCTCTCTCTCTCTCTCTCTCTCTCTCTCTCTCTCCACTTTACTTTCTTTTTCTTTTAACTTTTACGTTGTTTGTTTTCTTCTCCTGCCTTTCCTTTCCTCTCCTTCCTTCCCTTAATGACCAGGATGGAAAACACAGATTAAAACACATAAACTCAGATTTCTAAACACAACAAATCTTTTCCCTTCCTCCAGCAGCAGTTTAGTTTTTCTTCTTCGTGTGTCTTTCTTGGACCCCCCCCCCCCCCCCCCCCCAGTGTAAACTGATGCTGAACTTCTGTGTTAATCTCGTTAAGTTGCCGTGAAACAGCCAGCAGCATGCATGACAAAGGTTCTGTGTGTGTGTGTGTGTGTGTGTGTGTGTGTGTGTGTGTGTGTGTGTGTGTGTGTGTGTGTGTGTGTGTGTGTGTGTCGTTGTTGGTCCTTCTGTTTGCGTCCTCCTTTGCGTCCCTGCTTGTGTTACACACACACATCTGGGCTCTTTGTGAGACCGTGTGCAGCTGCTGGTTAAATCTGGACTTTATGAGGCTGAAGCCACAGAACCGGCTCTGTATTTATTTTCACTTCTCTGAGGTTTGTCTGATATCCAGCACATCTGTTTGTGTGTCGGCGTGAGTTTATGTGACGGTTTTTGCTCTCAGAGCTCAGATTTTACTCTTTCGCCGGATCGCTTCTGCAGCAGGTCGCTGAGTCAGACACAAAATAAAAACGTTTGAACTGTTTAATCCTCCGAGAAGCAGCTGAGGAGAAAACGCCACAAACATCCGGGACGTTTCAGGGTCGTTGGATCCATCTCTTCCCAAACCTGTAAAACCAGTTTCAGACCCAGATTTTTCCCACTCTGGAATGCCTCTTCTGTAATATTTAAAGGCACTTGAACGAGTACGAAGTGATGAGGAGTTTCTGGAGTTATCGGTCCCCTAACACCTCAGGGCCCTTCCTCCTAGTCGTGTTTTCCGGGAACTTCCTGGGAGGGGGGGGATTGACCGGGAGACACGATGGCTCGGTCCTCTGAGCTGCTGTCTCCACACAGATTGAGTCCTTTCAGGACCGTCTGTGAGACAACAAAGCCCCGTGAATGATGCCGCGGGGGGTTTGGCTGCATTTTTCAGTGTTAGGAGTTTAGTAACGGCAACTTTTAAATGAAAGCCGGTTGTTTTGGCGACATCCGCCAATTTAACTTCCTACCGAGTTACAGTTAGTGTGAGTTAACCAAAAGTTCCTCTCAGCGACTCTGAGTACACACTTCAGCTCAGACACTCGTTTGGTTCCTGAAAATGATCTAGAAACTGGTCCCTTCAGACAGCCAGCCTCGAAGTTCTGGTGAAGTTACCCTGAACTGTAGTGGAAACAGCCTTACTGTGGCTCTTTCTTGCCTTAATGTCCTCTAATGCATCAGGACTCTGAACTTTTAACACTTCAGGGCCCCCTATGGTCAAAGTCCTTTCTGATGCCTCAGGAGCCACTAAAACACTAGAGCCCCATAACAGCATCGGCCTCCCCCCCTACCAACTCAGAGTCGCTTTAATGAGTTAGGACTCCTCTAACGCCTCAGGAAACTAATTCATCAGCGCCTCCTAAAGCCACAGGGCTTCTCTGACGCCTCAGGACCCTCTGAATGCATTTTCACATCTGGCTTGGCTCGGTCCGGTCTTGGTTGGGTCGGCGAGACAAAAGGTGCACAGAGAAGTCTGCAGGTGCAGTTAGTGAATAAAAGTGGCCGTGAGCAGCGTTGCTTGTGGAGACTCTGACATGAAGCACAAGGCTTCCTACTTCCTACTCTCTCACTTTCCTCTCGCTGCTGGGGCTGGAGCAGCGGTTGCCCCACTGCGTCCAGCTTGGAGCTAGCCAGCCAGTCAGCCAGCGGCGGTCCAAAATAAACGGTCACAGGAAATGCACAGACTACCCAGATGTGAATGCGATATGATGCCTCGGGGCCCCCTGATGTCACAGGCCTCTGTAACGCCTCAGGGCTCTAACGCATCGGGCCCCGTGTATGGCCATAGTCCAGCCCAGTGTTTGATCTGGATCCGTTGGCCGGGTATTTGCTTGGCATGATCCTGGATCTGCTCAGACCTGATCGAGCTCTCTCTGCCCTGCCAGCAGGCGTGGTGCTGAGGTGGTTGTCATGGTTACCACTGAGCCTGGCTGTGACCTGATTGTTAGAGGGAAAAAAACAATGAGAGGAAACTTCAAAGATGAGCAGCTCAGTTGCCTAGCAACAAGGCAGGAAAGCTCTCTCTCTCTCTCTCTCTCCAACCATCCCTCTGTTTCATCACTCTTTCACATCACTATTTGTCTTTTCATCACTCCATCTTCTTTCCTGCTTTCTCCCTCACTGACGTCCCTGTTCTGCATTTTATCACTCTATCACTCGTCTACTCGATTCCTCTATCAACTCTTTTTTTTTTCTTTTTCACTTTCAGCATCTCGATTGTGCAGAGAACCGACCTCCAGCCCTGGTCCTCTGGTCCTGCCCAACATGTTTTAGTTGTTTACCTGCTCCAACACACATGACCCGATGGTTGAATCGCCTGTTCAGCGGGTCGTCAAGCGCTGTAGAAAGCCAGGATGGTGACTCTGGAGAACCAGGATCGGTCACCGCTGGTCTGAAGCCTATCTCACCTAGGTTCTCTCCTGCTCTCACCCCCCCGGATCTGGGATGTGTTGTTTGTGCCGGCACACCAGCAGCAAAGCATAAAATCTCCATAAAACCTGCTCTAAGAATTTTCTCCATTAGGCCAGCACATTTGGAGCATAACAGATTCAAACTCTCCCTCTGCCTAACTGCTGAGGAAGGTGAGTAGGCGGGGCTTTTATCCAGATGAGTCCCACCGTGCTGTGGTTCTGACTCCATCTGACGGCAACATTAGTTATGCGTTAGAGAGGAGGAGCCTCCTGGTCTGTTTTTAAACAGGATTATGGTGCAAAAACGTCTGTTGATGTTTACAAGATGTGAAGGATTTATTGTTATTATTTTTTTACAAAATTTCAACCTGTTTTTGGAGAATGGCACAGAAAATGAAAACTACATAAATAACATAAGATGCTTTCAAATGAACAGAGGAGGACGGCGGGACAGAAGAACAGCTGTCAGTGAGAAGAAGTAAACAACAACAGGCTCAGGCTCACTCAAATGTAACTTTACTTATTAAATCAAAAGAATTCAGAATACGAACTTCAACTCTTTACCACAATCAGGAACAGGTCAGGAATTAAACAGATCCGTGATTTTGGTCCATTAACTCAGAACCACTGGCATAAATTAGACCCGTTTATCTGTTCATCTCTCCAGTCGGCACCACTGAACTGGAGGATCTCTGGGTCCTCTGGGCTTCTGAACACGACAGTTAAACCCTGGAAAACAACAAAACCACAATCAGATTGAACCAGAACCAAACAGCTCATGTTCATACTGGCTCCTACGTCTTCAAGAGCAGGAGATGGACATCAGACGTCCTCAGTCACAACTGGTCAGGAGAAGAAACGCTCCGAATTACCAGATTCAGCAAGGTTTAAACAGGAATGTTGTGTTCACCAGCAACCGTTGTCAACGTGTTTCCTCATGCAACAATCAGACACCAGCGGCAACCATCAGACACCAGCGGCAACCATCAGAAACCAGCGGCAACCATCAGACACCAGCGGCAACCATCAGACACCAGCAGCAACCATCAGACACCAGCAGCAACCATCAGAAACCAGCGGCAACCATCAGACACCAGCGGCAAACATCAAAAACCAGCGGCAACCATCAGACACCAGCTGCAACCATCAGACACCAGCTGCAACCATCAGACACCAGCTACAACCATCAGACACCAGCTGCAACAATCAGACACCAGCTGCAACCATCAGACACCAGTTGCAACCATCAGACACCAGCTGCAACAATCAGACACCAGCTGCAACCATCAGACACCAGCAGCAACCATCAGAAACCAGCTGCAACCATCAGACACCAGCAGCAACCATCAGAAACCAGCAGCAAATATCAGAAACCAGCTGCAACCATCAGAAACCAGCTGCAACCATCAGACACCAGCGGCAACCATCAGAAACCAGCAGCAAATATCAGAAACCAGCTGCAACCATCAGACACCAGCAGCAACCATCAGAAACCAGCAGCAAATATCAGAAACCAGCTGCAACCATCAGAAACCAGCTGCAACCATCAGACACCAGCGGCAACCATCAAAAACCAGCGGCAAACATCAGACACCAGCGGCAACCATCAGACACCAGCGGCAACCATCAGAAACCAGCGGCAAACATCAAAAACCAGCGGCAACCATCAGACACCAGCGGCAACCATCAGACACCAGCTACAACCATCAGACACCAGCTGCAACCATCAGACACCAGCTGCAACCATCAGACACCAGCTGCAACCATCAGACACCAGCTGCAACCATCAGACACCAGCTGCAACCATCAGACACCAGCAGCAACCATCAGAAACCAGCTGCAACCATCAGACACCAGCAGCAACCATCAGAAACCAGCTGCAACAATCAGACACAAGGTACAACCATCAGAAACCAGCTGCAACAATCAGACACAAGGTACAACCATCAGAAACCAGCAGCAACTATCAGAAACCAGCTGCAACCATCAGACACCAGCGGCAACCATCAAAAACCAGCGGCAACCATCAGACACCAGCGGCAACCATCAGAAACCAGCTGCAACCATCAGACACCAGCGGCAACCATCAGACACCAGCAGCAACCATCAGACACCAGCGGCAACCATCAGACACCAGCGGCAACCATCAGACACCAGCTGCAACCATCAGACACCAGCTACAACCATCAGACACCAGCTGCAACAATCAGACACCAGCTGCAACCATCAGACACCAGCTGCAACCATCAGACACCAGCTGCAACCATCAGACACCAGCGGCAACCATCAGACACCAGCGGCAACCATCAGACACCAGCTGCAACCATCAGACACCAGCTGCAACCATCAGACACCAGCTGCAACCATCAGACACCAGCTGCAACCATCAGAAACCAGCTGCAACCATCAGACACCAGCTGCAACCATCAGACACCAGCGGCAACCATCAGACACCAGCTGCAACCATCAGAAACCAGCTGCAACCATCAGACACCAGCAGCAACCATCAGAAACCAGCTGCAACCATCAGACACCAGCAGCAACCATCAGAAACCAGCTGCAACAATCAGACACCAGGTACAACCATCAGAAACCAGCAGCAACTATCAGAAACCAGCTGCAACCATCAGACACCAGCGGCAACCATCAGACACCAACAGCAACCCTCAGACACCAGCTGCAACCATCAGACACCAGCAGCAACCATCAGAAACCAGCTGCAACAATCAGACACCAGGTACAACCATCAGACACCAGCTGCAACCATCAGAAACCAGCTGCAACCATCAGACACCAGCTGCAACCATCAGACACCAGCAGCAACCATCAGAAACCAGCTGCAACCATCAGACACCAGCAGCAACCATCAGAAACCAGCTGCAACAATCAGACACCAGCTGCAACCATCAGAAACCAGCAGCAACCATCAGAAACCAGCAGCAACCATCAGAAACCAGCTGCAACCATCAGAAACCAGCTGCAACCGTCAGACACCTGCAGTCCAAGAGGCTCTGGTCCAGCAACAATCAGACACCAGCTGCAACCATCAGACACCAGCGGCAACCATCAGACACCAGCTGCAACCATCAGAAACCTGCAGCAACCATCAGAAACCAGCTGCAACCATCAGACACCAGCTGCAACAATCAGACACCAGCTGCAACCATCAGACACCAGCAGCAACAATCAGACACCAGCTGCAACCATCAGACACCAGCAGCAACCATCAGAAACCAGCTGCAACCATCAGAAACCAGCTGCAACCATCAGAAACCTGCAGCAACCATCAGACACCAGCTGCAACAATCAGACACCAGCTGCAACCATCAGAAACCAGCAGCAACCATCAGAAACCAGCTGCAACCATCAGAAACCAGCTGCAACCATCAGACACCAGCAGCAACCATCAGACACCAGCAGCAACCATCAGAAACCAGCAGCAACCATCAGACACCAGCGGCAACCATCAGACACCAGCAGCAACCGTCAGAAACCAGCTGCAACCATCAGACACCAGCGGCAACTATCAGAAACCAGCTGCAACCATCAGACACCAGCAGCAACCATCAGAAACCAGCTGCAACCCTCAGACACCAGCAGCAACCATCAGAAACCAGCTGTAACCATCAGACACCAGCAGCAACCATCAGAAACCAGCTGCAACCATCAGACACCAGCAGCAACCATCAGAAACCAGCTGCAACCATCAGACACCAGCAGCAACCATTAGAAACCAGCTGCAACCATCAGACACCAGCAGCAACCATCAGAAACCAGCTGCAACCATCAGACACCAGCAGCAACCATCAGACACCAGCAGCAACCATCAGACACCAGCAGCAACCATCAGACACCAGCAGCAACCATCAGACACCAGCTGCAACCATCAGACACCAGCGGCAACTATCAGAAACCAGCAGCAACCATCAGACACCAGCTGCAACAATCAGACACCAGCTGCAACCATCAGAAACCAGCAGCAACCATCAGAAACCAGCTGCAACCATCAGACACCAGCTGCAACCATCAGACACCAGCAGCAACCATCAGAAACCAGCAGCAACCATCAGAAACCACCTGCAACCATCAGACACCAGCGGCAACCATCAGACACCAGCAGCAACCGTCAGAAACCAGCTGCAACCATCAGACACCAGCGGCAACTATCAGAAACCAGCTGCAACCATCAGACACCAGCAGCAACCATCAGAAACCAGCTGCAACCCTCAGACACCAGCAGCAACCATCAGAAACCAGCTGTAACCATCAGACACCAGCAGCAACCATCAGAAACCAGCTGCAACCATCAGACACCAGCAGCAACCATCAGAAACCAGCTGCAACCATCAGACACCAGCAGCAACCATTAGAAACCAGCTGCAACCATCAGACACCAGCAGCAACCATCAGAAACCAGCTGCAACCATCAGACACCAGCAGCAACCATCAGACACCAGCAGCAACCATCAGACACCAGCAGCAACCATCAGACACCAGCAGCAACCATCAGACACCAGCTGCAACCATCAGACACCAGCGGCAACTATCAGAAACCAGCAGCAACCACCAGAAACCAGCAGCAACCATCAGAAACCAGCTGCAACCATCAGACACCAGCTGCAACCATCAGACACCAGCAGCAACCATCAGAAACCAGCTGCAACCATCAGACACCAGCGGCAACTATCAGAAACCAGCGGCAACCATCAGAAACCAGCTGCAACCATCAGACAACAGCTGCAACCATCAGACACCAGCGGCAACTATCAGAAACCAGCTGCAACCATCAGACACCAGCTGCAACCATCAGACACCAGCAGCAACCATCAGACACCAGCAGCAACCATCAGACACCAGCAGCAACTATCAGAAACCAGCTGCAACCATCAGACACCAGCGGCAACTATCAGAAACCAGCTGCAACCATCAGACACCTGCAGCAACCATCAGAAACCAGCTGCAACCATCAGACACCTGCAGCAACCATCAGCAACCAGCTGCAACCATCAGGAACCAGCTGCAACCATCAGACACCAGCGGCAACCATCAGACACCAGCTGCAACTATCAGAAACCAGCTGCAACCATCAGAAACCAGCTGCAACCATCAGACACCAGCTGCAACCATCAGACACCTGCAGCAACCATCAGACACCAGCAGCAACCATCAGACACCAGCAGCAACCATCAGACACCAGCGGCAACCATCAGACACCAGCAGCAACCCTCAGACACCAGCAGCAACCCTCAGACACCAGCAGCAACCATCAGAAACCAGCAGCAACCCTCACCCCGGGTTTCCACGGGAGCCGTCAGCAGCACGTTACTGCAGCAGCACGTCTTGCTCGCGTAAGCTGCTGCTTGGCCCTTCCCACGAGACGCGAATCAGCAGGGGAGCAGCTGTCACCGACAGAGCACGAAGTCACACGAGTGACTTCGTCAGTAAACACAACAACAAGCAGGAGAAAACTACAACATGGCTCCAAAATGTTTGTGTTTTTATGTTCTGTCCGTTTTATAATCGCCAATACGGACCTGAAAAACAAAGGAGACCGCTAGCTAGGTGATAACTTCTCACGGGGCCGCACAGTTAGTAACCTTTTTTAAAGTAAAGCAACCGGAAGGCAGTACGTTCTTTATTCTGAAAATCTCGGGAGCTTCTCTCCATTTCCGCGTCCGATTTCCTGTCTTTCCTTCCCCAAAAATGTCGAACTTGACCCGTTTCAGAGGCGTCGCGCGTAGGAAATAGAACCGGCGCGTAAAGGCCGCGACATGCTGCTCCTGAGACGCGGCCGACTCGCGCTGCTGACGGCTGCCGACGGCTCCAGTGGAAAAGGTTCTGTTGACCACAGCGGTTCCTATCAGCAGCTATGACGTGCTGCTGCAGTAACGTGCTGCTGACGGCTGCTGTGGAAAGCCGGGGTCAGACACCAGCAGCAACCATCAGAAACCAGCTGCAACCATCAGACACCAGCAGCAACCATCAGAAACCAGCTGCAACCATCAGACACCAGCAGCAACCATCAGACACCAGCTGCAACCATCAGACACCAGCTGCAACCATCAGACACCTGCAGCAACAATCAGACACCTGCAGCAACAATCAGAAACCAGCAGCAACCATCAGAAACCAGCAGCAACCCTCAGACACCAGCAGCAACCCTCAGACACCAGCTGCAACCATCAGAAACCAGCAGCAACCATCAGAAACCAGCAGCAAACCTCAGACACCAGCAGCAACCCTCAGTCACCAGCAGCAACCCTCAGAAACCAGCAGCAACCATCAGACACCAGCAGCAACCATCAGAAACCAGCAGCACCCCTCAGACACCAGCAGTCCAAGAGGCTCTGGTCCAGCCCGTCCAAGAGGCTCCGGTCCAGCAACAATCAGACACCAGCTGCAACCATCAGACACCAGCGGCAACTACCAGAAACCAGCTGCAACCATCAGACACCAGCAGCAACCATCAGAAACCAGCTGCAACCATCAGACACCAGCAGCAACCATCAGACACCAGCTGCAACCATCAGACACCAGCTGCAACCATCAGACACCTGCAGCAACAATCAGACACCTGCAGCAACAATCAGAAACCAGCAGCAACCATCAGAAACCAGCAGCAACCCTCAGACACCAGCAGCAACCCTCAGACACCAGCTGCAACCATCAGAAACCAGCTGCAACCATCAGACACCAGCAGCAACCATCAGACACCAGCTGCAACCATCAGACACCAGCTGCAACCATCAGACACCTGCGGCAACCATCAGACACCTGCGGCAACCATCAGACACCAGCTGCAACCATCAGACACCAGCGGCAACTATCAGAAACCAGCTGCAACCATCAGACACCAGCTGCAACCATCAGACACCAGCGGCTACTATCAGAAACCAGCTGCAACCATCAGACACCAGCAGCAACCATCAGACACCAGCGGCAACCATCAGACACCAGCAGCAACCATCAGACACCAGCTGCAACCATCAGACACCAGCTGCAACCATCAGACACCTGCGGCAACCATCAGACACCTGCGGCAACCATCAGACACCAGCTGCAACCATCAGACACCTGCAGCAACCATCAGACACCAGCGGCAACAATCAGAAACCAGCAGCAACCCTCAGACACCAGCGGCAACCATCAGACACCTGCAGTCCAAGAGGCTCTGGTCCAGCCCGTCCAAGAGGCTTCGGTCCAGCAACCATCAGACACCAGCGGCAACCATCAGACACCAGCGACAACTATCAGAAGCCAGCTGCAACCATCAGAAACCAGCTGCAACCATCAGAAACCAGCTGCAACCATCAGAAACCAGCAGCAACCATCAGAAACCAGCTGCAACCATCAGACACCAGCGGCAACTATCAGAAACCAGCTGCAACCATCAGACACCAGCAGCAACCATCAGAAACCAGCTGCAACCATCAGACACCAGCTGCAACCATCAGACACCAGCGGCAACTATCAGAAACCAGCTGCAACCATCAGACACCAGCAGCAACCATCAGAAACCAGCTGCAACCATCAGACACCAGCAGCAACTATCAGAAACCAGCTGCAACCATCAGACACCAGCGGCAACTATCAGAAACCAGCTGCAACCATCAGACACCTGCGGCAACCATCAGAAACCAGCTGCAACCATCAGACACCTGCAGCAACCATCAGCAACCAGCTGCAACCATCAGCAACCAGCTGCAACCATCAGACACCAGCGGCAACTATCAGAAACCAGCTGCAACCATCAGAAACCAGCTGCAACCATCAGACACCAGCTGCAACCATCAGACACCTGCAGCAACCATCAGACACCAGCAGCAACCATCAGACACCAGCGGCAACAATCAGAAACCAGCAGCAACCCTCAGACACCAGCAGCAACCCTCAGACACCAGCAGCAACCATCAGAAACCAGCTGCAACCATCAGACACCAGCGGCAACAATCAGAAACCAGCAGCAACCCTCAGACACCAGCGGCAACCATCAGACACCAGCGGCAACTACCAGAAACCAGCTGCAACCATCAGACACCTGCAGTCCAAGAGGCTCTGGTCCAGCCCGTCCAAGAGGCTCCGGTCCAGCAACCATCAGACACCAGCGGCAACCATCAGACACCAGCGGCAACCATCAGACACCAGCGGCAACCATCAGACACCAGCGGCAACCATCAGACACCTGCGGCAACCATCAGACACCAGCGGCAACCATCAGACACCAGCGGCAACCATCAGACACCAGCGGCAACCATCAGACACCAGCGGCAACCATCAGACACCTGCAGCAACCATCAGACACCAGCTGCAACCATCAGACACCAGCGGCAACTATCAGAAACCAGCTGCAACCATCAGACACCAGCTGCAACCATCAGACACCAGCGGCAACTATCAGAAACCAGCTGCAACCATCAGACACCAGCAGCAACCATCAGACACCAGCAGCAACCATCAGACACCAGCGGCAACCATCAGACACCAGCGGCAACCATCAGACACCAGCAGCAACCATCAGACACCAGCTGCAACCATCAGACACCAGCTGCAACCATCAGACACCTGCGGCAACCATCAGACACCAGCTGCAACCATCAGACACCAGCGGCAACAATCAGAAACCAGCAGCAACCCTCAGACACCAGCGGCAACCATCAGACACCTGCAGTCCAAGAGGCTCTGGTCCAGCCCGTCCAAGAGGCTCCGGTCCAGCAACCATCAGACACCAGCGGCAACCATCAGACACCAGCGGCAACCATCAGACACCAGCGGCAACCATCAGACACCAGCGGCAACAATCAGAAACCAGCAGCAACCCTCAGACACCAGCGGCAACCATCAGACACCAGCGGCAACTACCAGAAACCAGCTGCAACCATCAGACACCTGCAGTCCAAGAGGCTCTGGTCCAGCCCGTCCAAGAGGCTCCGGTCCAGCAACCATCAGACACCAGCGGCAACCATCAGACACCAGCGGCAACCATCAGACACCAGCGGCAACCATCAGACACCAGCGGCAACCATCAGACACCTGCGGCAACCATCAGACACCAGCGGCAACCATCAGACACCAGCGGCAACCATCAGACACCAGCGGCAACCATCAGACACCAGCGGCAACCATCAGACACCTGCAGCACCCATCAGACACCAGCAGCAACCATCAGACACCAGCGGCAACCATCAGACACCAGCAGCAAACATCAGACACCAGCAGCAACCATCAGACACCAGCAGCATGTCATGGTCTGCGTCTGCGTCTTCCTCATGTGTCTCCTTATGTGTCTTCTTGTGTTCCTCATGTGTCCCCTGTTCTGCAGCCCCTCCAGGTTATCCCTCCCAGGTCCTGTGCTCCCATTGGTTCCCCCTAGTCACCCCTCTGCAGTTTTTTTATAAGGTTCAGCTTTTCATTTAATTAGTCTCTTTAGTGTGTTTCTTTCTCCAGCGGTTTTTGTAGTTCTCCTTCCTCCCTAGAACATTAGTTACTTAGCTTGCTCTTGTCTTTAGGTTTTGTTTTTGCTCTTAGGTTATGTTAGTTTCCCCTCCTCTGCTCACTTTCCTTTCCCTGATCAGCCAATTGTTTTCACTTGGTTCCTCTCCCCACACACCTGCAGCTTATCTCCCACTCATCCTGCCCCAGTATATTTAACCCTGTCTGCGTCTCAGTTTGTGGTTGGGTCATCGTTTGTGTCACCCTTGTCTCGTTCCCCTCTCTAGATTTCGTGTCTCTTGGTTTCTTACATTTCTTGGATATCTGTAGGTTTTGGTTATTAGGACTTTTATTTTATTTTGGTTTTTGGCTCCCTGCCTTTTTTTTGGATTTATTCTTTAATAAAGGTTTTTTACATTATTCTACTAACCCTGTGTCATCTGGAATCTCTGCATCTTTGGGTCCTAACCTCCTCCTAGCTCACAACGTGACACAGCAATCATCAGAAACCAGTGGCAACCATCAGAAACCAGTGGCAACCATCAGAAACCAGTGGCAATCATCAGAAACCAGTGGCAACCATCAGAAACCAGTGGCAACCATCAGAAACCAGCGGCAACCATCAGAAACCAGCGGCAACCATCAGACACCAGCGGCAACCATCAGACACCAGCGGCAACCATCAGAAACCAGCGGCAACCATCAGAAACCAGCGGCAACCATCAGACACCAGCGGCAACCATCAGACACCAGCGGCAACCATCAGACACCAGTGGCAACTCCTTAATGGGAACCATTCAATGTTTAGAAACAGATTGATTTGGAATCTGTTTAACCAGAGCAGCTGCGATCAGCAAACAGTCTCTGAGTTAGTGCGAGAGACCATAGAAACCATGACCACCTGCTTTAAGGTGCAACAGGACCCGCAGGTGTACTCACCAATGCCACCAGGTGAGCAGATGCTGCTCACATCTCTCACCGAGGATGAAACATCTTCATAGTCATCATCGCCTGCTGAAACACATCCAGCTGGAAGACAGACAGTAACAGTATTTGACCGTTAGCTCCACCTACAACCCCTGAGACGTCACGTGATCCAGCTAACTCGCCGTACCTGACACCAGCTGACAGTCTGAACCTTTGCTGGACTGACCGGCTGGTACTGCGATGTCGTAGACAGGCGAGGTGGAGAGCTTGAGGTTTGGTGGTTTGACTCGGGGTTTGACGGTGCTGTAGAGCGGCGCTGCGGACACCTCAGGGAAGTCATTGTCATATTCGTGGGAGGGCGGAAGCATTCTGGAATCAGAGCAGGAAGCTGAAACACACCTAACAGTTTTCATGTCTCTCTGCACACACCTGATCACCCAACCACACTCACCTGGGCCTGATAGATTATTCCCACCTGTGTTCCCCATGAAGTAAGCTCCCTACATACTGCAGCCTCAGCTCCAGATCATTCCAGCTTCGTGCGGCCCAGACGGGGCCTGTTCTGGTCAAGTCAAGCTCCGCTAATCCCTCTTTTAGTTGTCCTGCTCTGCAAATCCACTTTTGTTTGTTCCATTCTGTGTGTTAGCTGAGTCCTTGGGTCTGACCCTTCTGAAGGTGACCCTAACCTTTCTGAGCGCTCCTTTTCTGTGGCCGTCTCCAAGTTTAGGTCCTCCACCACCTCCCTTACCCATGGTGTCCCACAAGGTTGTGTGCTGGGGCCTCTGCTCTTCCTCCTCTATCTGCTTCCTCTTCAGCACATCCTGAGCTCCTTCAAAGGAATCTCCTACCATCTTTACGCAGATGACATCCAACTGTACATCTCCTTTAAGCCCCATGAGATGTCTAAGCTGCAGCTGTTACACACCTGCTTAGACTCTATCAAAACCTGGATGGTGGGAGCTTTCTTCAGCTGAATGAAGATAAGACTGAGATCCTCATCTGTGCCCCAGACAAGCTGGTTCCCAAAGTCAGAGACTCTCTTGGTCAGCTTGCTTCTCACACCAAACCCTCTGTCAGGAATCTTGGCATGACCTTTGACCCAGCTCTCACCCTGGATTCTCATGTCAGTTCTCTTGTTGGCTCTTCCTTCTTCCATCTCAGGAACGTTGCTAAGCTGAGTCCCATTCTGTCCCGCTCTGAACTTGAGACAGTTCTCCACACCTTCATCTCCTCACGCTTAGACTACTGTAACTCTCTTTTCACGTGTCTGAGCAGAACCTCCCTGAACCGTCTACAGGTGGTTCAGAACGCCTGTGCTCGGCTTCTGACCAAGTCCTCCAAACACACCCACATCACCCCGCTTCTCCTCCAGCTTCACTGGCTGCCAGTCAACTTCAGGGTTCATTTCAAGATCCTGGTTCTGGTCTATAGGGCCTTACATGGACAAGCACCATCTTACACTGGTGATCTTCTTAGTCCCTACACCCCCAGCAGGTCCCTGAGGTCCAGTGACCAAAGCCTACTGGTTGTGCAGCACCAGGCTAAAGGTCAAAGGTGACAGATCATCTGCTGCTGTGGCCCCCAGACTCTGGACCTCTCTCCCCCTGAGCCTGAGATCAGTGGACTCAGTGGTCTCCTTTAAAAAGCAGCTGAAGACTCACCTGTTCAAGCTGGCTTTTGTGTGACCTTCTTCACCTCTCTCTCTTTATTCTGCTCTCCCCACCTATTCCACCTTCCTCAGGATCCACTGATTTCCCTCTTTCCTGTTCACTCTCTCTCTTTCTTTACATTTTCTACTCACAATTGTCTATTTTTGCTCATTTTAAATATATTTTTAACCATTTTCTAAATTCTTTTTTATATTTTTACATTTTTTGTTTTTGTGAAGCGCCTCGTGATTTTTATCTTGAGAGGCGCTATAGAAATGATATTTTCTTCTTCTTCTAACCATCACTTCTCACATCGACCACAATAGTGACACCACAGGAATAAAAATCCAGAAAAGTCAGAGACAGAAAGGCCAGAAGAGCAGAAACAGAGATTAAAAATAAGTTATGGTGGCTTCGTGTCCTCTAAACTAGAATGTGACCATGTCCCTGTCATGTGACCATGACATCTGGATCAGGACCACGGTTATGGGTCCAAGTGGCAGGCCTCAGGTAAAGATCTCCATTATTTGGTCCAGGCCCAGAACCTGCTGAAGAAACTAATGAAGAAGCACCAGAAGGTGTTCACCTGATTCCATCACTGGACGTAACCATGGAAGAGTGGGCGGGGTCCGATGGGATTCGCTGGGCCTTTTTGGGTTTGTTGACCACGGCGTATGTGTCGTTCATGGCGGACTTCCAAGATGATCTGGAAGAGACGGATGGAGAAGATAACCAGAAACATCTGGTAGTGGTCAGGCAAAGGCGACCAGCTTAACCAGCTCAGAACGTTTATAAACCAGTAAGTAACCTGAGCTTTACCAGTTCATCACTAGGTCAGATCAGGTCAGATTTCCTCTTGATAGGAAGTGAATCTGTTCCTTACTTGTGTCTGCAGCTATGTGGTTGTCATGGTTACACTCAACTGACCAGGTAGATGTGCTCCCTAAACAGGAAGTAAAACCTTTCCATCCGCTAATCTGGGATTGGATTGTAGATACACGACCTTCCTGTTGCCTCCTTCCTCTCCTTCATTCCTCTGTTCACACACTCCCCCCCCCCAACACTTCCTCTTCTCCTTCTCACAGTTCTCTCTCTCTCTTGCTCTCTCAACCTTTCATTCGTCTCATCTGCTGTCTGATTTTAAGCTCTGGGACCTCCATTGTTGTCGCTGCCTCTCACTCTCCCCCTCTCTTCCTGTAGCCTCACTCATACAGGTTTCCATGGTAACGTGGTAACATATGGAGATGGTGGAATGACGACTGGCAGAAGAGGGTGAGAACGTGTTAATTCAACACCTCGGGGTGAAACACGCCGTCTGTCTCTCTGCGGGTCGGTACCTGTTGATGGAGAAAGCCGCTGGCGTTGAAGCTTCCTTCTCAAGTTTCTTCACCTAATAACAAAAAATTTCTCCGTTCAGCTCGCAGCTTCTGTTTCCGGCAGAATAGTTTAAAAAGAACAAAAAAGGAAAACATGTTTCAACATCAGCTCAGCGTCCTGGGCACGACACCAGGAACACAACCAGAGATCACAGCGTCGTCATCTCCTCTGGGAGGAAGGTGAGTGAACAGACCGTCATGATGGAACCACTCAGGGTCAGGTGGTCCATCAGACGCACAGCAGCAGCAGGGTACAGGGGTCCTCCGACCTCCTGAACAGCTCCTCCCATCAGATCGAACTGTGTGTGTGTGTGTGTGTGTGTGATGTCCTACCTGGCTCCTCTCATCTGAATGTTCTGGACAAACCTGTGTCAAACTGTGGGCGGCTCAGAATTTACAAACAGGAAATCAGTGTCACCACTTCCTGTTTCTGCAGCAGCTGTGGAACAACTTCCTCTAAAGTCACGACGGCACCTCCCTCCCAACCCCCGAGCAGCTCAGACTGCGTACCTCCTGCTGTTTCCAGTACAGCTGATCCGACTTCTGGAGGAAGCGTTCCAACATGTGGATGACGGCGCTGAAGATGAACTGGTACTGGTCCTGGATGGAAAAGAGAGTCCAGTCACACACCTGGAACTGGTCTGAGGTGGAGGAACGTTTCAGCAGCACCACCTGCTGACGTCCGGCCACCGCAGGTGCTTTAGCCGGGTTGGACGGGTCTCTGTTTGAGTGAAGAGTCCCTTTAATGAGCTGATCATGGTTCTGATGGTCTTAGAGACAGGCCCACTTCAGTCTGGATGTTGGAGGATCCAGTTTGACACACTGGATGGATCCTGGGTTCTTCTAGCAGAACCTCAGGAACTGTTCAAAGAATTTGGTGGGAGTTTAGGGTGTGAGGGACGAGGTCTAGCCTGGACCACTGAGCTCTACAAATCCTCAGAAAGCATTGCTTGAAGAACCATCTCCAACGAAAACTCAGAGAAGCAAATGGAACCGGGACTGGTCTGGACCAGGGACTAGTAGACTAGACTTTCAGAAATGGAACCCAGTGTCTCCCTCAGCATAAAGAGGTTGGACTGGTGGGGTTACACCACCAAACGGTTCCCGAGTGCAGCCGTGTCTGCAGCTCACCACTCCCCCAGGAGACGGGTCAAACGCGGAGAACAGGTTCACACACCAGAGTGACGACTAGCGGGTCCAGGAACTAGAGTAAGACCAGGGACTGGTGTGAGGAGCCTTCGTGGATCTGCCTACCTGGGTCTGCACTGCTGAAGGTCTCTGTTTCCGGAGCTCCAGGACGACCTTCAGGATGCTGAAGCCTTTAGGAATCTGCTGCAGAACCAACAACACAAAAGGGTGAAGACAAACAAACGCCACAGAGGCAGAACCGCTCAGACGGTCTGGACCGAGTACCCATGTTCTAGCTGAGACTCTCAAGGCTTCATTTGGTTCTTTTGGTTGACTTGCTGTAGGAGAACCTGCTGAGCTACCAGATCCATGATGGATTCTTTAACTTCTTGTTGTGATTCAGGCCACGGAGGAACCTGGGAGCAGCTGGAGGACCTCCAACTGATCTGATGGTCCCAGATGTTTGCTCAAGTGGTTCCTGGACTTTCTAGCCTTTAAACATGAGGAGGACCCTATTTGGGTTCTGGACCCAGGCCCGAGTATTCGGAACCCTCCCAGAACCTGTCCTGGCTTACGTTTGTTTACGAAGAGATTTTTTTTAAATGAGCTTGGTTTGCAGGAGGTGTTATCATGTGTTACCGTGGCAACCAGAAGGTCATGGATGTAGTCAAGAGCACAGATGACTCCTGTCCTCCCACAGCCGGCACTATAACACACACACACACACACACACACACACACACACACACACACACACACACACACACACACACACACACACACACACACACACACACACAGACTCTAACAGATGCATTGAGCATGTTAACTGTGCCATCGTTAGCAGGTGTTACCTGCTGCATATTCACCACCTCCTGCTCTAGAGTGGGTGTGTTTGTGTGTGAGTGTGTGCATGTGTGTGTGTGTGTGTGTGAGTGTGTGTGTGAGTGTGTGTTACGCTGTCCTGTTAAATGTTAATGACCAGCTGACCTGTGATCAGTGCTGCTGCTACAAACAAGCTGCTGTAATGATACAAAGTCAACTGCAGTTCAGTGTGTGTGTGTGTGTGTGTGTGTGTGTGTGTGTGTGTGTGTGTGTGTGTGTGTGTGTGTGTGTGTGTGTGTATACCTGCAGTGAATCAGGAGAGGTGACGGGTCAGCTCCACAGCTGCTTCTGGCTCGGTCCAGCAGGTCCAGAATTCCTGCCGTGTCAGAGGGAACGTCGTGATCTGGCCAGGATGTGTACTGGTACTGGATCACCGACTGGGTCTCCTGCAGGAGGACAAGAGGAGGTCACGGAGGAAGCAGCTTCTTTGTTTTACGTCAGAATTGGGATTGGACCTGCTGGTAGCTGACGGTCAGATTTCTGACCACGACGTCCTTGTTGGGTTTGGTCTCTCCCTGCTGGAGACACACAGGGACAGCCGGGACAAGGAGCTGAAACTGAATCTGACTCTTGTTGATTTACGTGTTAATTAAACATGACCTCTGTGTGACCTGTGGGTGAACTTACACAGCGGACAGTAAAAGGTCCGAACACGACTGGCTGGAGAGCTGCAGCCCAGTAACACTCGCACTTTCTCTGCAGGAAGGTTGTTCGGATGTTTAGTGTTCAGCTGTTTCAATCACACATCAAACAAACACGCATAAAACATGCTTTACCTTCCCCATCTCGATCTCCCTGCAGGCCATGACTATCACCTGAAACAGAGGGGCCCGACTGTAAAAACCTCTGATTGGACAGTTTGACTGCTTATTAGTTTGTGATCATCCATTCACGTTAACACACACTTCAGAGATGTGGGTAGCTCATTTAATCAACACATGTGCAATGGTCTCTAGTAGGAATGAAGGCCTTGTGTGTCGTACTCCGGGGAAAAAGCGCCGGTGAGCCCGTTCCAGGAACTAGAAAGGAGCCACATCAGCTGAGCTTCAGACAACAGGATCGGGAGTCTTACTTCCTGATATTCAGATGTCTCTCCTCTGATTGGCTAACAGCAGCACGACTCTACCGCTGACTCTGTTTGCGCTGCAATGTTGATGATTTAACTCTACAGATAGCACAAGTCAAGAGGAGTTCTGCTGTGTGGTGGAGTTGCTAATGCTAACAGTGCTAGCAGAGATGTTCTCTGCTGTTTCCTGGACTAAACCAACGACAGCCTTCCCCGTCGTGAGTCCAGATGGGTGAGTCCATGAACATTAGGTGACAGTGTGACGTAGATCTGTCAGGATTTGCTAATCCTAGAGTTTCACCGTCTGTTTTCTATCAGAAGCTAATGCAGGAGATAGGTGTAGGAGACTATTTTCATGTTCAGCCTGCATGAAACACTCAGAGTGACTTAATCATTTGAAGTGTGAACCACACTTTTAGGTTTCTGCTGCTCTGACATCATCAATCTTCTCCGGATGCAGTTGGACTGAAAAAAAAAACCCTTTTATCGTGTTAAAGGTATCAAAAACACATGTAAAAACATTTAAGTTGAGATTAAAAACACTTAATTATTCTTTAGCTTTATCGTTTATAGCTTTTATTGACTTTTAATCATTTATTGTACTAAATGATTTTTTACCGACTTTAGCGTTTCTCTATGTTGATTCTACTGTGTGATGAAACGCTCGTGTGTCCGCCACTTGGCCAGGCGTAGGAAAGGGCTTTATGAATAGGGACAGCAGCAGCTCAACAGGCAGAGCGGGTTGTCCTGTAGTCAGAAGGTTGCAGGTTTGATCCTGGCTCCTGAAAGAGAATGCTGCTCTTGTGTCCTTGGGCAAGACACTTAACCCGCCTTGCCTGCTAATGGTGGAAAGAGAGACTGGTGGGCGGCGCCAGTGCTCGGCAGCCTCGCCGCCATCAGTGCGCCCAAGGGCAGCTGTGGCTACGTTGTAGCTCATCCCCACCCGTGTGTGAATGGGGTTGGGGGTTGTAGAACTCCAAGAGGGTGCTACACCGGCCATTTTCCACAAATAAAACTGACTTGATTTGACTTAATAAATGTGTGTAAGAACCACAAGAACAAAACAAATATAAAACCTGAAATCAGTTAATTTTTGATCTCTTCATGGATCAGACTACTTCCTGGACACCAACGGTTTATGTTGTGTTTCTGACCTTGATGTGATGTTGCCAGATCATCCTCCAGAAGTCCGTCAGGGTGGAGCTAAGAGGCCCCTGGCAGGCAATGTACCTGCAGTCCCCTGACGCCCCCTGCAGGACAACCAGGTGCATTACAAGCAGCAGCAGTTCAATCCGACAAGTGTATGTGTGTGTGTGTGTGTGTGTGTGTGTGTGTGTGTGTGTGTGTGTGTGTGTGTGTGTGTGTGTGTGTGTGTGTGTGTGTGTGTGTGATGTTAGAGTTTTTGAGTCTTCGTCACCTTGATGAAGCTGGCATTTATATAATCAGAATGTGCGTCAGCGGTTTGCTGGGATAACACCACCCGGGTCTGATCATCTACACACACACACACACACACACACACACACACACACACACACACACACACACACACACACACACACACACACACACACACACACACACACACACACACACACACACAGGTCAGATTTAGTCATAAGAAATTAAAAGTCCAAATTAACAATAAAGGCATTTTTCATTTTCTTTGTCAGTTTTGGCCATCTGAAGCAGACATGATGTTACGAGACAGACTCGGACAGAGACACAAGAAGAAGGACTTGACGGGAGGAAAGCAGGAGACCAGACGTGTCCTCGTACACGGCAGGATGTCTTTGTAACGATTCTTCTTGATGTTTTCCTTCAGAGCTCCGACTTGTGAGGTCAAATTCAGCTCTCTCTTTATCTGCAGAGACTGTGAGCGCACCACCTGTAATCACACACACACACACACACACACACGCTTCTGTTATAGTGACATCACTGTGTCTTTGCTCTGACTTTGGAGTGGTGCGGAAGGGGGTGCCCCAGGGCTCGGTCTTGGGGCCACTCCTGTTTATCTTGTCCATCAATGACTTGGGTCAAAATGTTCCTGATGCAAATATGCACTTTTATGCTGATGATACAGTTATTTATTGTTATGACACTTCAGCTTTTGCTGTAGTCCAGCATTCACTTCATCAGGTAAAACTGGTCCTCGATGCTGAGAAGACTAAGCTAATGCTGTTGTCCAGCAGGAACGGGCCAGATGTTATTCCAGTGGTGACCGCTCTGGAAGGGATGTTGTCCATGAATACAAGTACCTGGGTGTCTTGATTGATGACTCACGTACTTTGAAACCACACACAAAGAAACTGGTGAAGAAACTAAAACTTAAGTTAGTATTTTTCTTCTGTAAATGTTGTGTTTTTCTTTTTTTTTGAAGCATAAAAGCGCCTTGTCACTGCTACTGTTTTACCCGTGTTAGATTATGCTGATTGTTTTTATACGGATGCTGCTCTTGCTCGGTTCATCGTGCGTCTTTGAGGTTTATCACCAACTGTAGAGCCATGACACATCACTGTGATCTGTACCGATGAGTGGGATGGCCTTTGCCTCTTCAGCTCCTTCTGACTGGAACCTGCTGCAGAGTCTGGAAACCGACTGAACACGATTCCTTAAATGAATTCAAAAGCTGAAACCATCAGTAGTTATGATGATCTGTGATATTTTACCGTTGCTTCTACGCTGTAACGGTTAAATGTCGCTGCCTCGCGGCCAGGACACCACTGGAAAAGAGGTTTTTTTAATGTCCTGGTTTAGAACCAGCAACCTTCTCACTGCAAGGCAGCAGCAAAGTCAGTCCAGAACCAATTTGAAACCAGAAATCAGGAACGAAAACATTCCTGTCAACACACTGCTGTGAGTCAGAACCAGAACCAAAGCCAGAACCAGAACCGGCCCTGCCTCATCCGAACTGCCCGTTGCAACCTGACCCTGCTGGATCATGTGGGTCCTTACGCTGCATGGAGACCCACTGAGGGTCAGCAAGCAGAAGAGTTGAGACTGAACCCACCTGATCCAGAACACGTTCTCAGCATCAGCAGGTCAGATACGTGTTCTGTTCTGATTGGACTTTTAACAGGATGATGGTTCTGAACCAGTTTTACTGTCAGATCTCAAATCTTTTTGCACATGTCGACATTAAGCTACTGTAAAAGTTCTGCTTCTTGTACCATCGGTCCAGAACAACGTCCTCAGTGAGGTCCAGAAGAGGTTGGACAAAGAATTCTGCACAAATGCTTAGGACCAAGTATACATGCAAATGATAAAACTGCTGAAAATGTTCAAACTGATGCTCCTGCTAACACACACCTGTATGCTCCTGCAATACGCTCCTGCTAACACACACCTGTATGCTCCTGCTAACACACACCTGTATGCTCCTGCTAACACACACCTGTATGCTCCTGCTAACACACACCTGTATGCTCCTGCAATACGCTCCTGCTAACACACACCTGTATGCTCCTGCTAACACACACCTGTATACTCCTGCTAACACACACCTGTATGCTCCTGCTAACACACACCTGTATGCTCCTGCTGTACGCTCCTGCTAACACACACCTGTATGCTCCTGCTAACACACACCTGTACGCTCCTGCTAACACACACCTGTATGCTCCTGCTGTACGCTCCTGCTAACACACACCTGTATGCTCCTGCTGTACGCTCCTGCTAACACACACATGTATGCTCCTGCTAACACACACCTGTACGCTCCTGCTAACACACACCTGTATGCTCCTGCTAACACACACCTGTATGCTCCTGCTGTACGCTCCTGCTAACACACACCTGTATGCTCCTGCTAACACACACCTGTATGCTCCTGCTGTACGCTCCTGCTACCATGTTTGGTCCGCTGTATTTTTCAGGTGATATTTGTGTTTTCATGTTGGGACTCTCCAGAGTTCAGAGATCAGATGAAGTCATCTGCCATGAGGGCCTGAGAGGTCCTAGGTCCAACAGCAGCTGTTTTTGACCTCCAACCTCAGCCTATTTGAATCTCATTATAGCATAACAACTGCTTTCTGTAACTTCAGTTTACGTGATTAAACTGATCCAGGGATCCGAAAGAAGGCTGTGAAACAGGAAATAGGGTGTTTCAGATTCAGCTGGAGTCATGTGACCAAAATTGGTGTCAAAGCTTCTGGTCTAGGAGCCTGATTTACATGTTTTACCTTCAGTCAGGTTCTGGGTTTACTGGCTGCAACTCGTTTGAATAAACACACACACACACACACACACACACACACACACACACACACATACACACACACACACACACACACACACACACACACACACACACACACACACACACACACATCTTCAGCATCAGGTTCAGGGTAGAGATAAGTTGATTAACTCGAGACGTTTGCTTGAGGCAACTTGCAAAGGTTAAGTGCTATTTGCCGGAAACTGCCTTTGAACTTGTTATTCATCTCTTTGTCTCCTGTCGACTAGATTACTGCAATTCCCTGTATTATGGATTAGGGCATTCCTCCTTAAACCGCTTGCAACTGGTTCAAAATGCAGCAGCCTGCCTTTTAACAGGTACGAGGAAGCGTGCTCACATCTCTCCAATGCTCGCTTCCCTACACTGGCTGCCAGTGCGTCACAGGATTCAGTTTAAATTGTTGCTTTTTGTTTATAAATCACTTTACGGTCTGGCCCCTCCTTATATAGATGATTTATCGTCACCTCACACTCCTGCCAGGATTTTGCGGTCGGGCTCAGTTTTTATTATCAGTTCCAAAGGCTCGCCTAAAGACGAGAGGAGATGGGGCTTTTTCTGTGCCCCCCCCCCCCCCCCCCCCCCCCCCCACACACACACACACACGCTGGAACAGTCTTCCTCTGCAGATCAGGACCTCACAAAGTCTGGATGTCTTTAAGTCCTTGCTTAAAACTCATTTATTCAACCTGGCTTTTATGTAGGATGATTTTATTTTGTCACTCTTTCTCATTTGTATAGATTTTATAGTCGTGTGATGTAATGCTGTTTTTGTCCTAACTTGCTGATTTTTATGGTTTTTAGTTATATTTGTTTGTGATTTTATCTTCTGTGTTGTTCAGCACTTTGGGTTGCGGAAGCAATAATAAGTGTGCTTTAGAAATAAATGTGACCTTGACCCTTGACCTACAAACATCCGAAGCTAAAGCTGGACGATCTAAATGTCCCCAGAGAGACAGAAGAATCAAAGCAGACACTCACATTGTACTCGTGCTCTACCGTGTCTGGGTGCACCGTCTTCAGGGTGGACAGCAGAGAGGACAGCCGCTCCATGGAGAGTCCACCACCTGAGCGTGTCTGAGCAGCAGAACTGAGTCTGAAACCTGAAGCTCTTCTAGTTCTCTCTTCCCTTTCTGTCAGAGCATCACACTTCTGCCTCCGCGTGAAGCCACGTCCGTTAATCATTCACCTGCAGATAAAGGAGCCGCAGTGGCGGCGTCTGAACTCGGAACCAGGAAGTTCAAATCAAATAAATATCTCAGGACTGATGACCTCACACCACCAGATTAGAAACCTGCTATACAACCAATAAGCAGCCATCGCACAACTATCACACTTCCTGTGGACAACCACACCATCGCCAAGCAGCAGGTCACAAGCAAGCCTTTGACTTTCACTACTTTAGGTCAAGTGATACAAAGTAAAACAGTAAAAACAAACGATGAAACTAAAGAATCACCTGGAGCGGTTTCAGTCCAGGCCAGGGGTCCCCAGCCCTGCTCCTGCATGGGGCTCCACCACACCAACACAGCTGAGTCATAAAGCCAGGAAGAAGTTCTTTTTCATTTAAACCGGAGAAAAGAACATGAAAAAACTGAATAAAAGCGTGCCACACACAATCAAGGTTGGACAGAAGAAGAAGAAAGAATCATGTCTATGGCGCCTCTCAAGATAAAAATCACGAGGCGCTTCACAAAAACAAAAAATGTAAAAATATAAAAAAAGCATTTAGAAAATGTTTAAAAATATATTTAAAATGAGCAAAAATAGACAATTGGGATTAAAAAGATGTAAAGAAAGAGAGAGAGTGAACAGGAAAGAGGGAAATCAGTGGATCCTGAGGAAGGTGGAATAGGTGGGGAGAGCAGAATAAAGAGAGAGAGGTGAAGAAGGTCATACAAAAGCCAGCCTGAACAAGTGAGTCTTCAGCTGCTTTTTAAAGGAGACCACTGAGTCCACTGATCTCAGGCTCAGGGGGAGAGAGGTCCAGAGTCTGGGGGCCACAGCAGCAGATGATCTGTCACCTTTGACCTTTAGCCTGGTGCTGCACAACCAGTAGGCTTTGATCACTGGACCTCAGGGACCTGCTGGGGGTGTAGGGACTAAGAAGATCACCAATGTAAGATGGTGCTTGTCCATGTAAGGACCTATAGACCAGAACAAGGATCTTGAAATGAACCCTGGAGTTGACTGGCAGCCAGTGAAGCTGGAGGAGAAGCGGGGTCCTGAGGCTGCTGATCAGAGCGCCACTGTGCATGTAGGGAAATTCAGGTGAGGTGAGCAACGAATAATGTTAAACAAATCATAATAAGACCTGGACCTGCCTGCAGCTGTCTCACGCCTACAGGGCTGGTCGTTGGCCTGGTAAATAACAAGATGTCACCAAATCTGAATGGTAAATGGCCTGTATTTGATATAGCGCCTTCTAGAGTCATGGAACCCCTCAAGGCGCTTTACAACACAACCAGTCATTCACCCATTCACACACTGGTGGGGATGAGCTACGATGTAGCCACAGCTGCCCTGGGGCGCACTGACAGAGGCGAGGCTGCCGAGCACTGGCGCCGCCGGTCCCTCCGACCACCACCATCTAAATAATAGATCAGTAATTGTAAAAAATCAGCAAAACAAGATAAAAAGATGAGAATAAAAGGAAAAGGCCTACAGAGAGTTACACTAGAAGAGACACAAACATTTACAGTAAATAAAAACATCCAACAGTCTGATTGGACGTTTGCTCTAAGCAAAGCCTCAGCTCAGGTAGTGATACTGTTATCCGTGTCTTTCACTGTAAAACAAGCAGGTACTCGGTGGGGTGGTTGTGGTGCGTTTGTGTAGCTCGAGTATTTTAGAGTTTTGTAGGTTTGAGGTGCTCTGAGGCTTTTGTTAGCCGTCTGTCGCCGGGTAGAAGCTGTTAAAGAAGCCTGTGCTGCGGGTGGACACGCTGTCTGCTCAGATCCTCGTTTGGGTTCAGCTGAGAGAGTGTTGGGTCTCTGATGATTCCTTCTGCTCTTTACAGGCGTCACTGGCAGATAACCCACGGAGGAACCTTTCTCTCTGGTCTGTGGTGTTTCTATTCCACGTGGAGACGCTCTACCAGGCCTCTGTGGGCTGGTGCGAACGGAATGTGGTTCAGACCTGCTTTCTTTAGGGTTTGCAAGAAGTAGAGTCTCTGTAGCACGTGTTTGACTTTGTTGGGTTTCCAGCTTAGATCAGGTGGAGACCTAGAAAGTTGTGATTGTTGGTCCTCTCTTCACTGTACCCAGACCCAGGACGGTGTTATCGTCTGCGCCTTTGATCACGACGGTGTTGTTCTGGCTGGAGACACAGTTGTGTGTCTACAGAGTTATGTTATGTCAGAATAACGGACAACCCCGAGCATCCTTTTCATGGCACCATCATGCAACAACAGAGCGTCTTCAGCTGGAGGCTTCTTCGGACCTGCTGTAACACAGGTTGTCCTTCCCGACAGTGGTCATGCTTGTCCTCATACAACTGTGTTTGGGTGAACAATTGAAGGTCCTAAATTTAAATTTTAAAAAGTTTCAATTGGAAAGCTGTCATTTGTATCTGCCTTTGTTGCTATTCTACCTGCAGAAGCATCAGTGAGACATCTGTCTCCTCAGTGTATGTTTCCTGTTTGTAGAAACAGACCAGAGTGAGACATCTGTCTCCGCTGGAAACAGAACATAGTGAGACATCTGTCTAGATCATGTGACTTCTCTAGCCTACCTTTTGGGATTTTATGTTTACATATATTTATATTTTAAGCATCATGCAATACTATATGTCTGAATTTGAGGGGAAAAAACATAAGAAAATGTGTTTTTAGTTGGGCAAGCACCTTCCTCGGGTGGAAACAAAAGCACTGGGGCGAATGGGGACCCATCCAAGATGGTGGTCCGCCTCTACGCTATTCTGTGGTCTCTTTCCTGGTTGTGGAAACAGATCAAAGTGACACATCCCTCTCATGCCACTCCTAGCTGCTCTCCTCTCTGCTAGCTAGCTGCTCTGTCTCCCGTTAGCCTAGCCTGCTAGCTGGCAGCCCGGTAAACATGGCGATGTCGCAGGCTCTGTCCGAGGAGGAGTTTCACCGGATGCAGGTAAGATGGAGGCTGCTCTTTTAACCCAGCTCGTGCAGGTGCAGATAGCTGAAACACCTGCGCCGCTGTCAGGTGCGGCACCCTGTTCATTAGCTCTGAAGTAGGAGCAGTTTAACGGTGTCCGGTATCGGTTCGGTGTCAGTCCAGCTGCGGCATCAGGCTCAGTGAAGGAGTGAGGACAGGTTGGGTCAGCCGAACAAACCGGTTTTATTAACGGTCGTTAGCTTTCTGTTGCTAACCGTTATTCCTGTTAGCTTTCACTGGGCTCGTGATGACGGTCACGGGAGGGTGTGTGTGTGTGTGTGTGTGTGGGGGGGGGGGGGGGGGGGGGGGGGGGGGGGGGTCCTGTCTCCGGGGAGGACCACAGGGTTCAGCAGGTGTTACAGGTGTGTTGGCGTCCCCTGTAACTTGGTGCTGATCTGTCAGTGCATGAGACGTTCAAGTATCCAATGAGCTAAATGATATGACGTCATCCTGTGTTAGGCATCTAGTCAACACCGCGAGTCCCTGAGAGGAAGCAAGTGGTTCCACGTATTCAGCAGGATGACGGTTCAGAAGGTTCTGGACCTGGTCTGAAACCAGACGGGTCCATCAGAGGATCCGGGGTCTACATGGACCTGAGTTTCACTCAGTAGAAGCAAATCATGTTCTCCAGGTCCAAAAACTGCAGCTGTTCTGTGCTGGTTGTCATGGTTACAGAGGTCATTACTGAGGTTTATATCACATCTGTTGATGCTCCCAGGTGCACCAGAACCTCTTCAGTCTGCGTGATTTGTTTGATTCATATCAAATGTTTTTAATCCATTAATTAATTAATTAATTAATGCATTCATTCATTCATTTAGATGAACCAGCAGGCGGATGTTTGTTGTTTGTTTCAGACGCAGCTTTGTGTGTTTTTCTCTGCAGGCTCAGCTGCTGGAGCTTCGGACGCAGAACTACCAGCTGTCAGATGATCTCAGGAAGACCACGGCTGGTAAGAACCTGCTGAATGTTCAGATGTGTCACCAGAACTCGTGGGATGTGGTTAGAAGGTCTGGTTGCGTTTCAGAGCTCAGCGTCGTTCGTCAGAAGAATGGGAATCTGGAGCGAGACCTGATCAAAGCCCAGAAGGTGACCAGTTCTTATTGACGAGTGATCTTTGGTCTGATCTGCTGGATTTGAACCGTCTTCATCTCTTGATCTTTACATTTGTTTCTTCTTCAGGCTTTGAGTAAGAGCAAAAAAGCTCAGGTAAGTTCCACCTGGTTGGTTGTGGATCTCGGCTGGGCAGTAGGTGGTCCTACCTGCTCAGGTGGATCTGAGTCTGGTCAGACAAGATTTAATCAGCCAGAGCTCCAGAACAGAAGTTCCTCTGGTTTGTGTTTCAGGAGGTGGATGCTCTTCTCAGTGAGAACCAGATGCTGCAGGGAAAGCTGCTGAGTCAGGAGGATGACTTCAGGCTGCAGAACACCACGCTGATGACAGAGCTGTCCAAGGTGCGTCTCTGTGTGTCCTGACGTGTCTTCAGGTCTCGCATTTTCTTAACATTGTCGTTCTTCTAGCTCTGCACGCAGATTGAGCAGCTAGAGCAGGAGAACCAGCTTCTGAAGGAAGAAGGCGGAGCCTCTGCGCCCAGCCGACATCCTAGCTCCTCCTCCACCTCTGTAAATGGAGAACAGCTCCGCCTCCAGGCTGAAAACTCCACCCTACAGAAGAAGTTGAAGGGTGAGTCAGACTTCAACAGATCCCGGACCTGGTTTAATGTGTTCTCCCAGCAGGACACGACCTGGGGACATGTACGTAGGACCTGGGGACATGAACGTAGGACCTGGGGACATGAAAACAAGACCTGGGGACATGAACGTAGGACCTGGGGACATGAAAAGAAGACCTGGGGACATGAACGTAGGACCTGGGGACATGAAAACAAGACCTGGGGACATGAACGTAGGACCTGGGGACATGAACGTAGGACCTGGGGACATGAAAACAAGACCTGGGGACATGAACGTAGGACCTGGGGACATGAAAACAAGACCTGGGGCCATGAACGTAGGACCTGGGGACATGAACGAAGGACCTAGGGACATGAACGTAGGACCTGGGGACATGAACGTAGGACCTGGGGACATGAAAACAAGACATGGGGACATGAACGTAGGACCTGGGGACATGAAAACAAGACCTGGGGACATGAACGTAGGACCTGGGGACATGAACGTAGGACCTAGGGACATGAACGTAGGACCTGGGGACATGAAAACAAGACCTGGGGACATGAACGTAGGACCTGGGGACATGAACGTAGGACCTGGGGACATGAACGTAGGACCTAGGGACATGAATACAGGACATGACTTGGGGACATGAATGCAGGACATGACTTGGGTACATGAACGCAGGACATGACTTGGGGACATGAATGCAGGACATGACTTGGGGACATGAATACAGGACATGACTTGGGGACATGAATGCAGGACATGACTTGGGGACATGAACGCAGGACATGACTTGGGGACATGAATGCAGGACATGACTTGGGGACATGAATGCAGGACATGACTTGGGGACATGAATGCAGGACATGACTTGGGGACATGAATACAGTACATGACTTGGGGACATGAATGCAGGACATGACTTGGGTACATGAACGCAGGACATGACTTGGGGACATGAATGCAGGACATGACTTGGGGACATGAATGCAGGACATGACTTGGGGACATGAATGCAGGACATGACTTGGGGACATGAACGCAGGACATGACTTGGGGACATGAATGCAGGACATGACTTGGGGACATGAACACAGGACATGACTTGGGGACATGAATGCAGGACATGACTTGGGGACATGAATGCAGGACATGACTTGGGGACATGAATGCAGGACATGACTTGGGGACATGAACGCAGGACATGACTTGGGGACATGAACGCAGGACATGACTTGGGGACATGAACGCAGGACATGACTTGGGGACATGAACGCAGGACATGACTTGGGGACATGAACGCAGGACATGACTTGGGGACATGAACGCAGGACATGACTTGGGGACATGAACGCAGGACATGACTTGGGGACATGAACGCAGGACATGACTTGGGGACATGAACGCAGGACATGACTTGGGGACATGAACGCAGGACATGACTTGGGGACATGAACGCAGGACATGACTTGGGGACATGAATGCAGGACATGACTTGGGGACATGAATGCAGGACATGACTTGGGGACATGAATGCAGGACATGACTTGGGGACATGAATGCAGGACATGACTTGGGGACATGAACGCAGGACATGACTTGGGTACATGAACGCAGGACATGACTTGGGGACATGAACGCAGGACATGACTTGGGGACATGAATGCAGGACATGACTTGGGGACATGAATGCAGGACATGACTTGGGGACATGAACGCAGGACATGACTTGGGGACATGAACGCAGGACATGACTTGGGGACATGAACGCAGGACATGACTTGGGGACATGAATGCAGGACATGACTTGGGGACATGAATGCAGGACATGACTTGGGGACATGAACGCAGGACATGACTTGGGTACATGAACGCAGGACATGACTTGGGGACATGAATATAGGGCAGTAGCTAGACCCTGACCCGGCAGCAGCAGACGGGTTTCTTTAACGGTTCTTATCCGCTGTCCCCCTTCAGAACTTCAGGAACGCTTTGATAAGGAGCTCCAGTGGCAGGGGGACTCCCACGGCAACCAGGGTGTTTCCACGGTTACGGACGGGTCCGCAGACTCCAATGGAGCCTCTGATGTCACAGCAGGTGGGGAGGAGTCAGCTGCAGAGGGAACCAATGAGAGAGCAGGACAGGTAAGCAGACACATGCTGGCAAGTCCCTCCAGATGGACCTGAGCCGTTAGTTTAAACATCAGATTGACTTTAGTTTGATTCTAAAAGCATGAAATGAAAATGTTTCTACGTACAGATGGACTCGGAGCTCTGCCCCTCAGAGAAAGCGTTTCACGGTGAGTCTCCGCTCCTGTTTTCATGTTTCTCATACAGACTCCAGCCTTAAGGAAGCGATGGGATGAGATCAGGGACGACCTGGTCTCAGCTCTAGATCTAAACACAGCAGATCAAACCAGAGCTGACATTAAAGGTCAGAATCATGTTTTTACAGTCATGTTATGGTGAGCTGATTACTTTGGACTTCCGAGGAACCGTAACTGCTCATTCCTGTCATTTTCACTAATCCAGATGGATTCGAGTCATTTTTAGTTAACTAGATTTGAATGAAGATGATGAGTTTGATGATGCTTGTGAAATCAGACAAAAACAGGCAATTTTCTGTCATCTTGACTTTATTCTTCAGTGAGTTTGTTTCTGATGGAGCTAAAACTGTCGCTGAAGGCAGCAGCAGCAGTTTGTTATTAAGCCATCCGGATGGGACTCAGCTGATGGATCAGTGCTCAGGGGTGGATGCATTTGAACCTGTCGTAGAAAGGAACCCTGGGCCTGTGAGTGTAGCGTAGTTAGCCGGTTCAGGGCAGACACACACTACCAGCTGACCCACAGAACTTCCACAGAACCTGAGGATCAGAACAAACCTTCTTCCTCCTCAGTCAGGAACGTTTGGGGGAAACATCCCGTTTCTGTTTGGGTCCAGAACCCTATCACATACAGGAAACAGGATCTGAGTTCTGACCCAGTTGGTCTGCTGCAGAGAGTAGCTGTCAGGTGAGGGGCTGTTAGCACTTTGGAGTGTGTGTCTGGCCTAACAGACTGCCCCTGCTGTGTGCAACGCCCCCTTTAGGCTGGTCAGAGAAGAGCATAGAGACGATTGTAGCTAAACAGGCTGCGGTAGGCTGGTCGGCTGCTCTGTGTCCAATAACTCACTGCTTTGGACCAGAACTGGAGCTGGCACTGACCACGGAACAGGAGGAGAAGAGGCTGCTGAGGGAGCAGGTCCACAGTCTGGAGGTAAGCTCACACCTGTTGTTCACCTGAGACACACCTGTTGTTCACCTGAGACACACCTGTTGTTGACATGAGACACACCTGTTGTTGACATGAGACACACCTGTTGTTGACATGAGACACACCTGTTGTTGGCATGAGACACACCTGCTGTTCACATGAGACACACCTGTTATTCCCCTGAGACACACCTGAAACACACCAGTTTGGTTTATTAAGACACACCTGTTGTTCACATGAGACACACCTGTTGTTGACATGAGACACACCTGTTGTTGACATGAGACACACCTGCTGTTCACATGAGACACACCTGTTGTTCACATGAGACACACCTGTTGTTGACATGAGACACACCTGTTGTTGACATGAGACACACCTGTTGTTCACATGAGACACACCTGTTGTTGACATGAGACACACCTGTTGTTCACATGAGACACACCTGTTGTTGACATGAGACACACCTGTTGTTGACATGAGACACACCTGTTGTTCACATGAGACACACCTGTTGTTGACATGAGACACACCTGTTGTTCACATGAGACACACCTGTTGTTGACATGAGACACACCTGCTGTTGACATGAGACACACCTGCTGTTCACATGAGACACACCTGTTGTTCACATGAGACACACCTGTTGTTGGCATGAGACACACCTGTTGTTGACATGAGACACACCTGCTGTTCACATGAGACACACCTGTTGTTCACCTGAGACAAACCTGTTG